TATATATATATATATATATATATATATATTTTACAATCTCTCCCTTTATAAGAATGCCCTGTAGAGGTATATCTGGTCAAGAGTGGAAAGCAAATGTTGGTTAGGGATTGTCTGCTGTTGAAAGTTGAGGCTCTCAGCATTGCTAGTTTTACATGCAGCAACCCAAGGCTCTCCTCACCATTGTTGCTGGAAAGGAAACTCCTGTGACATCTTTACTCCCTTTTTCCACAAAATGATCCACCCATAAATTCCATGAGATAAAGTAAGGGGATCTTATTCAACATTACGTTTAGAATCAATGATAAAACATAAACCAAAATGGTGAGGACTCAGTAAATGCTTCTATAAATTTTAGTACAATGGATTTTTCAGTAGTATGTATATCAATGCCCACGATGAAGATAGAGAGTCAGAACTAAGTATTGTTTTGTGCAAAGGAGTCTTGGTCATGGTATGTGTTCAATACATGTTCACTACATAAATCTGTGCATCATTGTGTCACTTTATTCATACATGTGTAATTGAAAAAATATATATAATTATATGACAATGCTTGTGAAAGTGCTGCCTATAATGCCTTCAATATATATTAAGGCTTATTTTAAGAAAAAAATAGATTACAGAGTAATTTTGGTAATCATTTTTATTTTAAACTATGAGCTTTTATCCATTTTTTGGAGCAGAGTTCTACTTATGTTAAAGTTTTTAAAATCAGGCAAATACTTACTAATTATAAATTAATTTCACATATTTTCCCATTTGATCTATAATATGGCTTTAGACAAAAGAGGTAAGTATAAGCACTCTCATTTTTATAACAAAGGAGGAAGACATTGAAGTTAATATCAACAAATATGTTTATTGTTACTAAGTTAGACAAGAGTTATTTTTGCGACAAAATTTTCCAAATATTTGTTTGGAAAATACAACAAAATATTTTTTATATATAAACATATGCTTATTCACTCTAGCAATGAGTGTGTGCCAGAGAGGTGAATTTTGGATTTTTCCAGAAGGCTCTTTTCTAAATGAATATGCAATATCATTATTGTTGTAATGAGAAAAAAAAATAATGTAGCATCAGTCTCTTTCTTTCAATTTCTTTGTGCTCTTAAGATAACACAGCATCCCTCCTGACTAGGGATGCAGTCATTGTACATTATATGGAGAAGATGTCAGCAGTGGACAAATGAAAGCCAGCGCTGTGTTTTATCTGGCTTCTTGGAGATAAGCACACTAAGGTCAAGATAAGTTTTTATGCTCCTGTGCTCTTTATTAATTGCATATAAATTATGATAATAGGTCAAAACACAGTGGTTTTTCTAATTTATTTCCTAATTATTGTGTGTGTGCAAGTGTGTGAGTGTGTGCATATTTAATGTCTCAGAGGAAAAAGACATAAAGAAAATGTAATAATGGATTTGGAGACAAGAAATGGGAGAGGAAACATGATACTTTGACAGCCAGAGCAGTATTAAAGGTTGATTTGTGGCCATGTCAAAGGCAGTCTGTGAATCTGAATAGAAAAAAGAAATCCATGAAACTATTTTGTTTACAGCATTAAATCTGAAATGTAAGATGAATTTTTGTTTGCATAGAAATGCCATTACTCAAACGACTAATGATTATTATGTCCTCTAAAGTCCTACAAGTCCTTTTAAGGATTGCTTTGGTTTGTTTTTCTGCAAATATTTAGATAATAGAGTGCAGTTTGTCTCACTTAATATATTTTCATGCTACTATTAACATTATTAAATTTATAATTTTGTTTTTATGCTTTTGCTGCATTATATCCCCAATTCTCAAAAATAAATCCATGATTAAAATGTAGCTTGCTGAAGCATAAAAAGTAATGAAAAGAGTAGCATAAATAGTACAACCCAAAATAACATCATAAACAAAGAGTAAACTGGTCTCTGGTGGTAAATATGGAATGCAAATCTGTATATTCTGGGACAAATAAATCTGCAAGTATCATGATTTCACATATGCAGAAGGAAAGAAAAGTGAAAATAAGAAGTATCTTTATGAATATAGAAATTGAATTATATTTGACTGAAGATTCATTTACTATTATTCCCCAGTTCATTTTCACTTATAAAATCTTGCCAAACAGGGGGTATAAATGACTGGCAGGACTAATTCTTCAAGGAGTAATCAGCATGTTCCCTCTGCTTTCTTGGAAAATCTCTAGCTTGCTCTCTGTGTTTTTTTTTTTTTTTTTCCTTCCCTGGACCACATGAGTAAGGGAAATCACTCACTTCAAAATCATGTACAAAAAGTCTAAGATGGTACAAAAGGGAAAAAGATGGAAGAGGGAAAAAAATGGTGAGGAGATAAAAAAAAAGAGAGGACAGAGAAGGGAGAGAGAAAGGAAGCAGGAAAGGAAAAGCTTTAATAGCCCCTGATTTTATCTAAGGGATAAGCAGAAGATACTCTCAGGTTTAGGCATTGGGAGGAGGCTGCATGGATCTGATTCTGATGACTGTTAAGTTTGAGGGTCTCCTTATCCTTACTGTAAGGTCTACCAATAGGTGCACTACAACCCTTTGATTTGAACACCCAGTTACAGTGAAAGTGTTCCATAACCTAGGGATTCTGCCTTAGTTTTGCCCACTCCCACATGACCCATTATTTGTGTCTGAGTCATCACCCTGTTGTCTGAAGCCCTCATGAGCCCCACAGAAGGGACCTCAGATTTCATGTTGTTCTGGTGGGGTAATGGCAATAGTTGTGGTGGTTCTTTTTGCTGCTAAAGGTAGGGAAATGATCAAAACTAGGAGAACCCTTTCAAGTTTCATTCTTTCATCAGCAAAAACAGCTGATGAAACCATAAAGCTAACTGCAGGATTAATAATAAATATTATGCTCGAAGAGAAAGAAGAACAAGCTATTGTCAAAAATCTTTCATTGAATGGTACTTTCAGATGATGCACAATACTAATTATGTATTGAAATAATAATAATAATTAGTATCTTGTAGGTGCCTGAAGATATTTTGCTTGACAGTTGAATGAAATCAATGATGTGCAAACTATGATTAAACTCATGGCTGTGCACAGTGTAGATATGAGGGAATCACACTGGATGATTTTTAAAATTCTGTTTATCAATGATCTCATACTAAAGATATGAGATTTTCTCTTGTTGATTTTACCATTAATTTTGTGCTGTGGCCTTGAATGCAAGGTAAGTAGGAAGCTGTGAATAAGTCTGAGTGTACTTTAATACTAATCTATATTCTACTTTATTCATGGTGATGGTCATTATTTGGGGAGTATCAATATGCTATCTATATATCAAGAAAAAAAATTTAAAAAGACAATTCAGTCCCATTGTGATCATTAAATTTGTCATTTCATGAAAAAAGCGTGAATGAAGTTCAAGAATTTGCTTTGCCATGTTAAGGTATGCTTTCTTTCCTTGGTAAGGTACCTACATGACTTTTTGAGATTCTTATTGATATTAATACACTATGTCCACACCAATATTGTTCCTAAAGAATATTCACATATTTTAAGTAATTTTCTTAGTAACATATCAGCCAATATATATCCAGTTTGTTATATTACTTCAGCCTAACCATCTGAAATGAAATAGAAAAATGTTTAATATTGAGGATTAGATATTAAGATTTCTTAAATTCTGTAGCAAGTTCTTTACCTTTGATATTCTGATTGATTTCCTATCATATTTTTATATACTCAATGAAGTAATGCGGGGGGGAGGGAGGAGGGAAACATTAAAACCCTGTAAGAAAACATGAAAAAGTTATTGAAGTTAATCTGACAGAGTGGATTAGAAATTCACTCATTGCTCTTCAATACAAGGTTTATACCCATTTCTCTCTTATCTCTGAAATTAATTTAGAAAATTAATAAAACTTAATATACTTAATACTGGATAAATTGCTTGGTTAATTTAATTTGGCCATAATTTAAGATGGGAGCACTTTTAACATCTAACCTCAAAGTTTATGTGTATCCACTTACTTCTGTCTTATCAAAAACTCCACACATCTTCTGGGGAAATAGCAGGGTAGAAGAGCAATTGGGTAATAGAGAACCCTTAGGCCCAAATCCAGCCCTTGTTGCAATAGATAACAAATTGCATCTGGGACCAAGAATAGCCTTAGAATTCAAACCAAGGCTTCTCGATTCATAGGGAGGGCCTGTTGAAATTCAGAGTATTTGTTTCTGTTAGGAACAAACAAACAAACAAAAATATAGAGATTGAGAAAGAGCTTAATTTTTTGTGAAAAATTGATAACTTTTTGCATACAAGCATGTGATCAGTGAACTCATCTCATTAAATGATATAGAACAGTTTTGGTAAGCCTAGGACATATAAAAAAGGCAGAATACCTTGATTCTTGGGATACCAGGATACCAGCTAAATGGCCTCATTCTCCCTCCTGGGAGAAGTCTATGTTTCCCCTTTTTAAATAAACTTTGCTTTATATGCTTAAAAAAAAAAAAAAAAGAACAGTTTTGGAGTTCATCTTGTGGGATAAGGCACTTATATACAGTGTGATCACATTACAATATGTAGTATTTTAAAGTTAGTCTTTAAAGCATAACTCAAAAGGATATAAAAATCAGAAAGAAATTATCATTTGTAATTTTTATTACTTTACTATTTATACATAGTTTCATATTTTAATTAAATCTGATTTTAAATTTATAATAATGGTATTAGGTAAAAATAAAAAAGTGATTCTGATGGGTTTTTTTTTTTTTTTTTTT